TGAAAAGAAATATTGCATCCATTTCACAACTGTAGTGGTCTGAGGTTCTGCACACAGAACCAAAATGTTGACTTCTGAGGCCACCAGGAAAGAGGACTTGGCCCGGACGCGTTCCAAGAAACTGAAATTATCTAGACCCTGAGATAAGGCTGGTAGTTTTTCATTGAAAGCCGCACAGACTCCATGCTGAGAAAGCATTGGCCCTAGGGTTTTCATAAAGGTCTCTCCATTTTCATCATCGGATGCCACAATTCCTACCCATGTCCACTGGAAATATAGAAGTAGCATGACAATCCCTGCATATTGATATTTCTCATTGGGCACCGTTCGGTAGAATGTCTGGGGCTGCAACTCTGGGCTTCTCACTGGAGCTAATACACAGTAAGCAATCTGGAGGAAGAAATCAAACCCACAAGAATTGGAGAGTTCTAGCTTACGGTTTATAAATAGAGGCACCATATTTTCATATACTTTGTGGTGATGTGCACCATTAAAAAAATTCAAGATCTGGACCTATACCCACAGGTTCTGTTAGTTGGAAAGAAAGAAGTACAGATCAATGGAACAGTTCAGAAGCTCTTTTGTCCTTGGACATCATTGTCCAGGTTTGAAAAAGAAAACGTTCTTACCTCCTTTGCCCGGTCCTGGCACAAAGAGTCCTTGAGAAAGAGTACTTTGCAAAATGCTGCTTTTATTCTTAAAAAGTCTTCTCCAACCACAACCAACAGCTTTATACATATCGAACGCAACCAGCTTTCTACCAACCCACACCACACACAATCAATGACCACTCTATGTCTACAGGTATAAGTAGGTAAAAGTTTGCATGAGTCATGCAGGCTTTGCCGATTCATTGAACACTGCTGACACATACCGACTGGGTTCCTTTTATATTAAAGAAACAGCGGCCAATTTTAGGCCATGACAATCATGGTATATTGCATGAGTGGGAAACCCGTGGTTCTCCAGAACTTCCTGGACTCCTTGACCATTGAGCAAAAGTGGTCGGGGCTAGTGGACAAAATCAGGACAAGCAACTCCCTTGCTTAGTTGGAACCATTCTGATGAGACACAACTAGGGATAGGAGAGGAATTGAGTTCAATGAACATCTTAATAATTAAAAAACAACCCACCTGATTCACAATTCCTGAAACAATTGGTGAGCCAAAATGCAGCTGTCCTCTGACATTTGTACTTCTCTGAATTTTGCAATTGACTTCTCCGACCAAAACCAAAGATTTATATTAAAATGACACTGGTCACAAAAGTGAATACATTAGTGAAAATGAAATCAAAAAATATATTACATTAGGAAAAACAGCTGGGAAATCTGTGGATTAGCCAGAACTGCGTAGGAAGAGCAGGTTTTCTCTGATCTCTTGCAGCTGGCCTTGGGCAGCTTCCTGGGAGCAGGAGGAAGACTCCTGCTGCTGTATTTGCCCAGTTCCAACCTCCCTGCTGCTTCCCAGTGACACAGGGGAGACAAAGTCTGGCAAGCACCAAAGCCCCTCTCCTCCAGCCACTAGTGCAAAACTCCCCCAGATGCTTTTGTATCATTTATATATTTTCCTCTCACACTTCCTTTTTCAGAAAAATGAACCAAAGTAAAAGAAAGCATTGAGAACCCAGAAGATCATTATTGTACCTGAGGCAGAAGAGCTTGACAGCCCCCAGTCTTACTATACCTGTGGAATCTTGTAGATGCCTAAGACAGTAGCCATGTGGAGAGAGATGTCAGAGTCAAGTCCCCCAATAAAAGCTACCTTACTTTTCTTCGTCTCACATATGAAGTTGGGGACAATCCTTTCTGTGATGGACAGAAGTTTCAGGGTGTTCTGATAAGTCATCCTTGCATTTGTGTAGCTATCATAGATGTGAAACCCAAAGGTCATATTCGGTATGATATTAGGGTTCTCGTTTATTTCTTTGACAGCAAACACCAGGGAAAGAATATTCTGGTAGTACTTCAGTGTGTCACTAATAAAAGAGTTATACAGTGGTACCTCGGGTTACAGATGCTTCAGGTTACAGACTCCCCTACCCCAGAAATAGTACCTCAGGTTAAGAACTTTGCTTCAGGACGAGCGCAGCAGCAGGCCCCATTAGCTAACGTGCTACCTCAGGTTAAGAACAGTTAAAGGTTAAGAACGGACTTACAGAAAGAATGGACTTACAGAAAGAATTAAGTTCTTAACCCGAGGTACCACTTTACTACGTGTCAGAGGTATTCTCCTCCTCTCCCTCTTAAGCACATTGGTAACTTTCTGGCTCTCTCTGGCAAATCCCAAAAGATTAAATAAAACAAATAAGCTAACAAACAAACAAACTATATATCCATTGTTTGTCTTGACAGTTGATAGTTGACCCCATGGACAATATTCAGTCAGCTTTAAGAATATTGCATCTAAAAAGCATTTAATTTTGTGCAGAGCATTCATATCCTGAAACTCACATATGTAAATTAATCTCTGATCTGCAGGTGTACCACTGGTGCCTAAAATTATGGGTCTTCACAGGCGGCTAAAGCAAACCGCCATTCCTCCTATGTTAATTTTGTGAAGGGGGACCTGTTTGCCACATCCTTCTCTTAACTCCTTATTTCCTTTCAGCAGCCAACGGACACTCACTGGAAGAGAAGTTCCCAAAGCAGAAATTCTGACTGGTGCCTCTCAGATAGTAAGTGTTTGGTGTAGGTGGGGGGTAGAGACCAGAGCACATCAGATGGAACAAATTCTATTCTTTCATAGTAACTGAGTTTCCCTCCTACCCTCCTTCAAATAAAATTGTGGCTGTACAAAAAAATACTGTAGCCAATGTTAGTCATACCCTTAGAAGGACCATTAGGATTAATAGATCAGACTTAATTAGGTTTATTAATTTCAGTGGGTCTACTCTGCAAATAACTCAGTATCAATACTTTTTTATTTACTCAATAGGGTTTACATTGTATAGCAGAGACTATAATCCAAATTCTATGTTATTCATATGTCACATTCATCTGTGACTGTGAGATTAAATGATAGTGATTGTGAATATGAAGATAAAGCTTTGCTGCAAAGGAAAACAGATGTTAATGGTGTGAAAGGAAACACAGAGGGAGGATGAGGATGAAGATGGGAGAAAGTGGTGAGAGCCATGGGATCAGGTGATGAGAAAGCAGAACAGGCAGAAAACAGAAACCTCATGAAGCAGAATAAAGCAACAAAGAAGAAGATACCAAGATCACAATGTAAAAAGAAGAAAATATATGTTTAACATTCCTACTTGAAAAAAGTCACATGGAAACGTGTTCTGAGGGTACCACTGTATGTTTGGTGTAATTGTAGCATACATGAGCTCACCAAGGGTACACTATGAAGGATAGAGTTTTTTCCTTACAGAAGTTCATCTATAAGCTTTGTGTTTGGGTGCTCTTGGAAATCCATTTCTTCAAATAAAAAGCCGAAATAGGTAACAATTCCTCCAATGATTAGGTCCCCTCTCTGATAATTCTGGTATGGAAGCTGGAAAGGCTCCATCATGGTGCATCTAGCAGAGTGTTCCTTGCTCTCAGTTGGAGGCAACTGAAGCCACAGGAAGAGAAGAATCTGCAGCTGAAATGTTCCAACCATCTCACTGAATGACTCTCATTGAATGACTCTGGATTATTTTGATAAAGGGAAAATGCCAATGATCTGATTCATGAAAACCTGCATCTTCAAAATTTCTCATGTGGGCTCTGAATGACACAGGATTTATTTTATATACACTTTCACAATCTGACATTGATTGTGTCCATGGCCTGATGAAAATGTACAGAGTGTTTGGCAAGCTGGATGATAAATCCCAGCAATTTGAGATAATTACTAGTTCAAAAGTTATTGCCTTAGAGCATTGAGCTCTGTGACTTCTAGTAAAATCAAAATAATGATGCATATTTGTTATTGAGTAGTTCTCTTGTAATTGTGAGTGCCCCAGGCAAGCAAGCAGTCCAGCTGCAAACTGGTGCCCTAAAGGGAGTTTCCTATTTCTCCAAAACTCTTCCTCAATCACATTTCCCCTAGCTGTACATGTGTCACCAATGAAGACATGATTTTCAGCATTTTAGACCCCAAAGATGCTACCTTGTACACCCATTAAGGGGAGGGAGAGGAAATAGTTAAAATAATACAGATTCCAGTTGCAGGTGTAATACAGAGTGTTACATTTCCTTACAGAAGCCAGAAATGGTTAGTGTTCTGCTGTGGCCATAATGTACCTTGATTTCAGTAAAGCTTGTGAAGAAACTGGGAAAATGTGGGTTGAATGAGGGAACTGTTAGGTAGATTGGTAGCTGGTTGACTGACCGAACCCCTTTTGTTGCAGACAGGGTCATGTCCTGGCCAGTTGTGCTCAAAAGCATTGCCACAGCATCAGTAATCAATTCACCACTGCCATAATTGTGTCCTCACAATTTCTCCCAAAGGAGATCTTTGGGGTTGCTCCAAATCTTTTTTATTGTTTACTTGTTAATTCTTTAATTATTTGTTTACTTGTTGATTCTTTAATTTCTAGGGACATCAGTATCCCAGATTTCTAATTACATACACGTAATTAAAATAGCAATAACAAACACCTAGAATTACGAGCATGATTCAGACTTCTGGATTATTTAAAACTGTCTTCTTATTAGTTGCTCCCTGCTGTTCAGCTCAGGCCTCAGTAAAATAACATAGCATTTGGGGATAAAGATGCAGCCCAGTAACCCACAACTGGAGGCCAAGATGGAGAAGATCTCCACAGCCACCATGTATTTGCCCTTGGTGCTCAAGTAGGTTGGAACAAAGGACAGCCACACACTGCAAAAGACCAACATGCTGAAGGTGATGAATTTGGCTTCATTGAAACTGTCAGGCAACTTTCTAGCTAGGAAAGCCACCGTGAAGCTCACAATGGCCAGCCAACCCATGAATCCCAGGACACAATAAAACATGACAGTGGAACCTTCATTACATTCTAGAATTATTTCTTCAGTCATCGAGTCCATGTCAACATCTGGGAATGGGGGAGAGGTTGCCAGCCACACAGTACAAATTGTCACTTGCATAAGGGAGCAGGAAAGAACAATTGGGGTGCCCAATGGCTTCCCTACCCACTTCCTCATTCGGGACCCTGGCTTGGTGGCCATGAAAGCTAGAACCACAATGGCAGTTTTGGCCAATATGCAAGAAATTGCCACTGAGAAGATCAAGCCAAAAGCAGTTTGTCGAAGGAGGCAGGTGACTTCCTCAGGCTGGCCAATGAAGAGCAGAGCACAAAGGAAGGAGAGCAGGAGGAAAAGGAGGAGAATATAAGTGAGGTTGCGGTTGTTGGCTTTAACTATGGGAGTATCTCTATGCTTTGTGAATATTTGAAGCACCAAAGCTGTGATGAAGGAAAAGAAGAGGGCAAACGTGGCCAAACTGATCCCCAATGGTTCTCCATAAGACAAGAATGTTTTGTCTTTGGGGAGGCAGCCATTCTGTTCATTGTTTGCATATTGATCTCCAGGGCATTCTGAACAGTCGTCCATGTCTGAAAATGAAAATGGAAGAAACAAATCTTATTTTTAAAAAAGTTATTCTGTCCCCAGATTGTCACAATGCATCTAAGAGATGCCAGAATATATATTTGCTACTTCCATACTGTTTTCCCACTAGAGAAAGGAGCTTCTGATGCACAGGTAAAATTAAAGCGTGTGATGCATTCCTTACCCTCCTTGTTTGAGATCTTCCCTTCTGGACACGGAAGGCAATCATAGCAGCAGAATGGCTTTCCTTCCTTCTTGTTCTTTCTATAACCTACATGACAATTCTCATTACACAGAGAAGTGGGTTGTGCCTGTTCATAAATGAAAGAAGGAAATCGTTTGGGACTTATCTTCAAATAGTAAAAATGACAGTTAAGCAGATTGCTATAGGTTTTTTTTTTGTTTTATCTGAAGATGATCTTAAATCCAGCACTAATGGTAGCATGGAAACGTCTACCATTACTCCAGTACCTTTGCCTTTATGAAAACCATATTGGTAAGTATTTGAACTTCTTCAGAGATTAGCAAGGCAATATCTTATCAAATTAGAAAATGTTCAGGTGAAAGCTTATTGGGTCAGTATCTCCTGAATATAGAAATCGCTCAAGTGCTTTTGACTCACAGTTGCAATAGAAATTATTGAAATTCTGCCCTGTGCAGGTAGTCTAACCACTGTTTCTTTAACTTGGAACTTTAAACCATGCTTCCAATGGTTTCTCTGGCAACATTCAGTGCCTTTGCTTTCTTTTTGTATACTTGTATCTTTTTTGTGAAGGGCGATGATCTCTTGTCTTACCTTCTTGGACCATTCTACTGACTTAGAAATATGGCTAACATACAGGAACATTTGACATTTAACAAACCCCTTGCACGTTCAGGTATTTCATGTGTTAGATAGAGTTAGAAATAAGATAGCTTTCCTTTTATCAGTGCTACAGCCTGATATTTCCTTCACAGATGAAGTCTGATAATTGATTATTCAATATGTTGCAATGAGGCAGTTTTGGGACACTGAGCAAAAAACTAGAGAAAATCCAGAACAACGTCTTACCTGGTTGAACCAGTTGGGCCACATGATACCATCATCATGAATGGTTAACCTCTTTTCTGGGGGAGCTTGTGGGTCCATTGTTCCAACTTTGACTCTCAGAAATGACTGATTTGGGAATGTGACCCAATTTATTATATCAAATCCAGCTACTAATTCCCCATTTTGGTCAAAAGAAACTTCTTCCCCAACACTATTATTAAATGAAACACTCCCCAGAAAGTGGTGGAGCTAAGTTTGAAGAGGAAAAAGGCAATTAATGAAGATGCCAAAAATAATTAAATATTAGTAATATTCGTACAAATAGAGTGCTTATCTTTAACATTTAAGACCTAGAGTTTGTGGTCCATTTAAAAGTTGTATCTTAGTGTTTTTCTTTCTCTGTTTTTAATTAGTCTCTTCTTCAAAAATGGATGGAGCTAAAAAGGAAAAAGGAATTAATGAGCAGTGCTATTTTCTAGAAAAAGAGGTCTGGAACTCACCACAAACACCTCCCTCGTTCCCTTGGAATAGCAATGACGGCACCCTGAGAGGGGAGAGAACTGAGTTCCAGCTGAAAAAGGACCTGCTCATGAGCATATACAAAAGAGCAACATTGTGGAACACAATATTCATTTTAAATGTTTTGTGAACGTTACTTTCAATGGTAGTAATGTTCATTGTGGTGGTAAGATGTGGTTCTTTTGAGAATTACAGTTAGTCTTGGCCTAAATTTCATAGAACTTAGACCACAAATATTAGACAGGGTGTACCTTCAGATAGGAGGATAAGCTGTGTAGATAAGCTGCTCATCACTTTCCAGGGATACAGGGCTGCCTTTGTACAAATATTATTTTTTTTAAAGAATAATCTTTTATTAACCGACCAATCACATAAAATCAAACCAAATTACATAAGTTCCAAATTACACAGCCGAATTTTAAATTTTTGTTGGGGGTACCCATATTTCAAGTTCCGAAGGGATCCAATCAACTTCTTGCTTCTTACTGCTGTTTTAATGTCCACAAATCTAACCTTATGATATTCACAGTACTATCCAGTCCTTTCTTATTATTTTTCCACATCTCTTGTTGTTATTTTCATATATTTTTCCTTTCTCTTTGTGACCTCTGATAGTCTCCGCAAGCTGGTTAGAACAGTTTGTAATCCTGCGTGGATATTATTTTTATCCAGTAGCCATATCCAGACGTTTTCCATATAACATCACTTCCATACATCAAAACAGTCTTAGCGTCATTAATCTTCACCAATCTGCCTCCTTTCTCAAAACCTCTGAGGAGATTCACTAGGAATGCAGTCTGAAAACAAGTCCGTTCTTCCTCCCGGCTATAAATCCTTTGGCAAGATGGCGACTCCAAATTAATTGCTGCGCCATTCCCAAAAGCTCTTATTGCTTCTCGGTCTCCATAAAGCATACTTTGGGTTAAAGTTTATCTCCACACAGACCTTAATCATCCTGCTTGGGTCAGTTCAACCGACGGTTCTAATGAGGAGGGGTTCTTGTAAATCACATAGAAGGAAAGTAAAAAGGGTCCCCCCCCCATTCAGCCCCGTTGTCAACATACCCCGCCTTTGGTGTATCTTCATCGTAAAATATTCCTGTTTCTCCAGCCCGTCGTCTTCTTTCGCAGAGGTCACTTAAATTAGCAGACTTCACTCCCCTTCTTCACTTGAAATATGTGCATTTGCTTCTTTTGTAATTAATTATTCCAAATTGCTGCAACTAGTGCGCAATCAGAGACAGCGTCCAGGAGAGCCGAGGTCCACACAGGGGCATTCTGCCTAGGGCCCTCACCCCTTCTTTCGAATTAGGGGTGATTTATGGGCACAGCAGGCAAGGGCAGTGTTCGCCATTTCCTTGGGGCAACAAGGGAGGCTGCCTACTCCCATAACAGCCTCTTAATTACCCCGTGTGGGTCGGAGAGATGGTATTGTCGGCCATCTTCCAATGCGCCCCCAGTGGCCCCCTGCCTTTGTACAAATAGTGATAGCATGATATCGTGTACCTAGCCATCTATAGCCATATTTTGCTATTCCAAGGACAACTGAACCCACTTTAAAGTGATGGCAGAATTTCATCCATTATGTTATCCTTACCATTAGTGGATAGTCATTTCCTCCCTGAGAGGAAAAAGGAAAGAGAATACCGCCTACTGAAGAGGTATTCCAGAAAAGTCCCCCCTTTGGCTGAGCTCCAGAGTTGATTACAGACATCTGTATTAACTGGAAGACAACATTACCTGCCATGGCTGTTGATCTGTAAGTTTCCATCTTTCTCCTTCTGCCATTGCTCTGCAATTTAATTTGGTGGACTGCATGGTGTGCAAAGCATGTGCCAAAATATAGATTGCATTGTAGATGCTGTAGCTGTGGGCTGTCATGCTCGTTTCAAAAACAGACCCAGGAAGGCTCTCAATATTCTCCTCCCCAGTACAGAGTTTGTCATCTTTCTTCTCTGAAGCAGAATCATTAAAACCACAATTAAATGCCTCTTCCCAGAAAACCCTGAGAAAGCCATCTTCTTTTTCCAAGGTAGGCTTTCTCATCTGAATAAATTTCTGGAATCCTGGAAGATCCTTAGAGTGAACTGCAAAGGATAGAGCCCCATGGAGGAATGTGATGTCCCAACCTCTTTGAAAGGGAAATGAGGTGAAATCCATCTGGGCTATCATAATCCAGATTTTTCTATTTCCTTGTATTGGCACATCATTCATTTCTGCAAGCCTGGGTAGCGTTCTCATTCCCATAATTGTATGAATTTCACCATGTACAACCACAGCATTGGCAGTGCTTCCCACAATAATGTTCAATGTTTTCGAACCTTCTTCCACCATTTCCTCAAACTTACTAGAAGAGGTATCCTTAGGGAAACTTCCTATAAAATCAAAGCAGATACCCTTCTGGGCAAACATGGGGAGAATATTTTCTACAAATCTCTCTCCAGTGTCATCATGGAGTTTAAAAAGCACACCGATCCACATCCAACGGAAATGCAGCAGTAACTGGAGGATCCCCTCGTATTGCTGAGTCCCACCTGGGAATATCCAGTGGGTGAAAAGGGCTTGAATGTCATTAGTTGTCACAGGAGAAGAGCCATAGATGAGCTGAAAAGGGTCATTGTTAAAATCAAAGGAGGAAAGATGATAACAAATGCTGATATCAAAACACCAATTAGACTCAAAACCAGATTTCAATCTCTATTTAATTGGTATATATTAACCAGGGGGATTTAGCTTTTTGTTTATTTCTGTTAATTTAGAATTTGCGGTTTGGGGAAATACTTGGATATTAATGTCTTTACATCAAGTAGAACAATTATGCAGTTATGTTTGTGGCAGAATTTGCTGCCCTTCATATCTAAAGGAGGATAAAGGAAAGAACAGGTAAATAAATGCTTGTTCACAGAAAACCCTGATAAAGCTTTCCCCCCGCTCCCAATGTACGTTTTCTCATTAGAATGCATTCTGGAATCCTAAATGATTCCTTGAGTTAACTGCAAAGGATAGAAAAACATGGAGGAAAACTATTTCCCACCACCTTTGCATGGGAAATTATATGAAATCCACCTGGACTGTTCTAATTTCAAACTTTTGCCTTGGTTTGTTTTGGTGCATCATCTGTTTCTGCAATATTGGGCATCCTTCTCATCACCATAATGTTGTGACTTTCAACATTCACAATCACTTGGTGTGCTTCCCAAAACAACTATGGTCATTTTGGATCCATTCTGCACAATGTCTTGGAATTCACCAGAAAAACAATGTTAGTTTATGGACTTTTTCTATAAAATCAGACACAGGAACATTTTTTTGTACAAATAGCCCTAAACTGTCACCCATCAGATAAACCACATCCATGTGAAATTTAACTGTTGCTGAGCTCCAGGTGAGAACATTTGGTGGATAAAGCCAGCTTGGATGTTTTCATTCATTACAGGGGAAGACCCATACATGAGCCAAATATGATATTTCTAAAAAGCGAGAGGAACATTTATACCATAAGGTGATATGAAACATCACTTAAATGCAAATCCAGATATCAGATTTAATTTGATCAACATTCATTAATCTGAAGGTGTAACAGACAGCAGAGCCAGACCAGAGCCTGGGGATGCAGTGCCTCGGAATTCCATCAGAGGGCTGGTGCATCCCTCTGATTGGCTACCAAGACAGCCAGTAAGAAAGAGGGTGGAGCCAGCAGTTAGAGAGGGAAGAGAGGGATCAGATGGTTTATTGGAGAGAGAAGACTTGGTTCTGAGCTGTGCGTAACATCCACCCTGAGGAAAATGTCTATAGCTAGAGAATGGAGCCTCTGGGCTTAGATAGCATGACACTGTGTAGAGTATTGTAAGAGTTTTCAACAAGAGTTAAGTGGAGAGCTGAGTTTGTTCAAGGAGAAGTAGAGTTGTGGGGATACCAGGTGCACCAACTCCTAGGGGCCGAGGAAGTTTCGTCCCCACCAATGTATTTTCTGAGGGGGCTAAGCCCCTTCAATATTCAAGGGGCATTCAGTTCCTCATGGCATCACACGCATGATGTCAAGGTGTCATATGACATCACGCACATGAAGTCATTACGTCATGCTGCACTGCACATGGGCCCCCTCAATCCTCTTCAGAAGATGGCACCTCTGCAGGATCCCATCTGCTTGGGTCTCCTTCCAGTCAGGAAGGGAGAGATCTTCTAGAAAGAGAAGACACCCAAACCCGTTAAGAGGGCTGGAGTGATCCCCTGGGGCTGTTGTGCTGTTTGGAGAACCTCAGGAGTGGGAGTGATAGAAGGTGGGGAAACTGACAGAAAGCACTACCTTGTATAAGAACCAAAGTCTGAAACTGTAATATCTATGCAATGTGGTTTAAGAAACTGAAGTAATGAAAGATGGAAATGAGCTGATTGTTTACCAATTGTAACATCAAACTGAAAATAGGGAACTGCCATTTTAAATAAGCTGTATGTTCACTACCTTGTTTTGAAGCCTGTAACATCCACTAAATTGAATATTAATAAGTTAACTGTTTCTTGAATGACCGCTCCCCACTTAAAACGGGGGGCGCCCTTTGCGTGGACGCACGCAGCGCCTGGATCTGGAGTGGCTCCATCAGCATAGGCTTGGCTTTGCCTTCCCTCAGGTGGGATACCTGGAGGTCTCCGCCTACCTCAGTCAGTTGTCCAATCCCACCTGGGGGAAGCGTTGCCAAGGAGACCAGGCCAGGTAGGGGAGGGATTACCTGCCCACACAATAGAGGGAGGATCTTACCTGGGAATCCTCACTTGGCTCCAGAGCTGAAAGAACTTTATCTCCTGATACATCTTTTGTCTTACCAACTTTATTCTGCAAAATATTTTTTTCTAATTTTTCAACTTCTGCGTGAAGTTGACCATTACCTCACACACGCTAGATAACCCGTGGTGGTTACAGAGTTTTACTGAGGGGGATCTGCTTCAGAAGGATTCCAATATCACTTATTTCTGTTGATTTGGAATGTTAAAGTTATATTGGGAAATATATAAGTGAATTTTCAGCAGGCATAGCAAACACACAGTTGTGTTACCTCAGGCAGCAGACGTTTTGTTACAGTCCTGCACAAGAGTAAAGTCTCCAATGAGGAATTCTTCCACCTGAGTTTTTAAGGAGGTGTAGAACTGAAGCAGACATATTTCTCACAACCTGCATTTTTGGTTGATAAATACCAGCCTATACCCACTATTTGCCATTCCCTCGATATTTTATTCTGCAAGATGTTGAATCACAAAAACATTCAATTACCAGCATGCAACCCAATGAGTCTTAGTCATAGACAACTATAAATGGCTTTCATGATAACCCATGTTCCATGCAAACCTCTTACCCTTGGCATCTTGTACATGGACAGGATGGTTGACATGTGGAGACATAAATCAGAGTTTGGCCCCCCAATGACTGCCTTTGGAGTCTCCTGAACATCACACTTGTAGTTGGGGAGGAGTCTTTCTTGGCTAGAGAGAAGGTCCATGGAGGCTTGATAGGTCCAGCTTGGACTGAAATGGCTGTTATAGATGTGGAAACCCAGAGAGATATTGGGCAAGATTTTGGGATCTTCATTTATCTCTTTTACAGCAAATGCCAAAGCCAGGATATGCTGGTAGAGTGGTGTTACTGGCCTGTATGGAGAGCGACATAGTGCATAACAATTCACCTTCACAAAAATGGATTCCCACAGTGAAGGAAAGTGTGTAGATATATTGAAACACAACCTTGGATGTTTTGCTACCCTGAACATCTAACTCCTGCCATGTTAAAGGCGGCCTGGCCCTGATTGCTACTAGTTCTGTTCTACAGAGGAGAAAGAGAAAGTCTGGTTACCAAAAGCTTATAATAAAATCACCTCTAAGTCTGAATGAATTACCACGTTGCTTGGATTAAAGTCAAATAAGAAATAAGAAATCCTTAGCTCACCATGGTAAATGAGCAGAAAGCCTTAACAAAGTGAATGGGGATGTTACTTTTTATGCTGCCTTGCAAACTTTTTTAAAAAAATTGAACACTGGTATAAGCCTACCATGTAAGAAGAAACATGTTATCACACACTGCAGTAGTGAGTTTGAGATATGAGATCTGCCCCAATGTCTCATAAACACCAGAACTACGTGGAAGGGAAAGGGTAGTAGTAATTATCATACACTCATGGCCAATATTGTGAAAACATTTTGGAAAGTATGCCTGTATCTCAGGCTCATAACATCAGTACTTTTTATATTAATACCATAAATATATATATATCATTAGAATGATAATATAATGCAGAATATAATGCAACAGTGTTGAATTATCCTTACTCTATCAAAGGTTATAGCCAAATACTCACTCGCTGGATCATCACCTTGTCATGTTGAGTGGGCTTGCATGTTCCTATGACCCTCGTGAGCAAAGCCATTGGGAGTCTCGTACTCCCAGTAGGGTCACCCAAGGCAGAAGGTCAAAGGGAAGGAGCTAGACAAAGAATGATCCAAGGAAACCAAATGAACACTCAAGCCCTTCAAGATCCTATTAAGTGGGATTGCTATCAGTGTATCTCTTTTTTAGCTGTGGACGGCAAAATTCTTGCAGGGATCTTAGCAAACCATATCCTAACAATCTCCTAGGCTACCTTTCCTGAATCCCAAAATGGTTTTCAATGTTCTAGGGGGACAGTGGACATGATTTTCACTGCTTGACAGCTTCAAGAAAAAATGCAGAGAGCAAAACTAACCCCTGTATATGGCGTTTATTGACCTGACTAAGGCCTTTAACACTGTAAATTGTAATGCCGTGTGAACTGTCCTTCTGAAAACTGACTGCCCAGTTTAATTTTTGAACATCATTCAGCTCCTCCATGATAATTTGACAACAACAACTGCAGGTAACCATGGCTCTCAAAGTGAACCATTCACAGTGGGATCAGTTGCTAAACAGGGTTGTGTTATCTCCCCAGCTCTATTAATTATTTTCATTGCCATGATCCTACACTTTGTCAAAGGGAAACTCCCCAACAAGTAGAAATCATATATCAAACAGATGGAAAGTTCTTTAATCTGAGTAGGCTGAAAGCAAAGAGTAAGGTTACCATAACTTCCTTCATAGAGCTTCAATATCCTGATGACAACGTGGTGTGTGCACACTTACAGGATGACCTGTAAACAATGCTAAATATCTTCACAGAAGCTTACAAAAAGCTTGGCTTATCACTCCAAAAATTTTTACACATCACTTGGGAAGACAGGCGAACTAATGCCAGTGTACTGGAAGAAGCAAAGATCACCGGTGTCGAAGCAATGATTCTTCAATATCAACTTCATTGGATGGGTCGTGTTGCCTGATTATCATCTTCCAAAGCAACTACTCTATTCCAAACTTTAAAATGGAAAGCATCATGCTGGTGGTCAACAAAAGAGGTTCGAAGACTCTCTCAAGGCAAATTAAAAAAAAATGTAGTATAAACACAGACAATTGAGAAATACCGGCCTGTGAGTGCTCAGATTGGAAAACAGCCTTTACCAAATGTGCCATGGACTTTGAAGACACTCGAACTCAGGACGAAAGGGAGAAACGTGCTAAAAGGAAGGCATGTTTGGCAAACTCTCACCATGATCAATTCACACCCAGAAACCTATGCCACCACTGTGGAAGAACGTGTGGATTCAGAATTGGCCTCCATAGTCACTTACGAACCCACTGTTAAGACCATCTTTATGGAAGGCAATCTTACTCAGCTACGAGTGATCACCAAAGGAAGCAAATAGCCAAATAAAAAAAAGTTATGCACAGAAAACCATAATAAAGGGTATTTCATAACTTTTCACCATTTCTGTTAGTGTCGATACTTTTTATTGTAATTGCAGTCCTACAATGGCATCCCATGGAGTAAACCAAATATTTTAATTCACCAGGTGTTTTAATGAGAAACCAAGATTGTATGTTTCTAAAAATTGTGCTATATTCCTTGGTTGCTTCTGACTAAAAAGTTTATTTAATCAGCTCCACAGATTTTCTGTTGGATTCAGGTCAGGACTATTCAACACAGTTTGTGGCATTATATTCTGCATTAGATTAACTTTCTAATGATCTACTTTTGAAGTTCATTCTAATGGTATACTGTTCTTATAAGCCGTCAAACCTTAGAAATACAGCTTTTCCAAAGTTTTCCACAATTTTGACCACTAGTGTAATGAGCATCACCTTCATCATATATATATGTACATCATAACAAATACAGAAATTACAGGTATATGATATGGTTTTTAAATACACACACACACTTCCTTACAGAATGTCATCGAAGAGTTCAGGTGTAGGAGGTTCATTGAAGGCTATGGTTGAAGTTATATAGATTTGAGACATAATACCAGCAATAACAAGATCTCCAGACTGGAAATATTTGTGAAGAATAGGAAGAGGGTCACGGATGGAACAGGGAGCAACAGCAGCCTTGCACTCATCTGGAGGAAGCAGCACTGACGCCAACATCATGGAAAGTACCATCCTGCACAGAGCATGGTAGGAGCAAGAGGAATTTTTTAGGCGACAATTCATCTCTTTGCACATTGTCATCTGAGTGATACTGAGCAGCAAAGTCTCACCGGAATGGTTACGAAAGCCAGATTTTTGCAGAGAAAAGAATCAGTGACCAGTCTGACAGAGCCCTTGGTGTAAGGCCAAGCTCTGAACATCACAGGAGATATTAATAGTATCTGCAAGTCTTGATTCATAGTTTTCATGCAGCTACTGGAACTCCCCAGAGAGTCAAAGAAATGATCGTGATTTCTTTGATAATTGCAGGAGAATTAATCAGCTTCTCGGTGATTTAGGGGTGGGGAGCATGTTTATCACATCACAGCCAAAGTCTCAGCTGGTCCCCTTAGTAGGGAGAGCAATAAGTTTATGGAGAGTCAAAATAAAAGAGAAAACTACTTAATAAGAAAATACATAGTAAAAGAATAACTGCTTTTCAGCTTTCCATTACACTAACTAACACCATATGGACAGACCATAATTTTCAGTTGAGAGCCAGTGTGATATAATGGTTAGAGTGTTGGACTAGGACATGGGAGATCTGGGTTCAAATCCCCACTTAGCCATGAAGCTCACTGGGTGACCTTGGGAAGATCACAGCCTCTTAGCCTAACCTACCTCAGAGCGTTGTTGTGAGGATGAAATGGGAGGAGGAGAACCATGGTATATAAATGTAATAAATAGATAAATATACAGTAATCAAGTTTCGATTTAGAAATCTGTGAATGCAGTGATTTAGAATCTTTCTCTATGAGCTTTAAAATGCTTAAAACACTACTATAACAATCAATTCTGACCAAGTTACAGTGGAACCTCTGGTTATGTAACATCCTCCTTGCGAACACTTCGGGTTACAAGCTCCGCTATCCCAGAAGAAGGTCCCCTGGTAGTGAATTTTCCCAGGATGTGAGTGGAAGTCGCGTGCTGGCGGTGCATGCGCAGCGGGAGGCCCCATTAGCGAAAGCGTGCCTCAGGTTAACAACGGTTTCTAGATAAGAACGGACCTCCGGAACAAATTAAATTAGTAACCGGAGGTGCCACTGTATGTCCAAAGGGGGGATGCTATAGTACTCTTCATATCATGAATATTCTTAATTCTACTTTCTTGTGCTAAAAATTGTAGGTTGTGACATATGTGGGCCATAGGTGACCTGGGGGTGGGGCAGCATACCTCTCCATCATCCGAGATCACAGAGATGTCAGAGAACCCATTTTCCCCACAACTCAGCAAACATGGTGCTCTGCAAGCCCCTGCAATCAGCTGATCTTTGGGGCCTCACAGTGCTGCACATGGAGCTATGCAAGGCCCCCCAAAAGCTGCTTGTTGGGGTTTCCATAGCTTCATGAACACAAATTGCAAGCCTGATCTACGAACTATAATCAGCAGCACTTGTAAAGCCCTTTGCACAGAGTGCAAAAGAATGCTATAGTATTCTTTGTATCATGAATATTCTTAATTCTGCTATTCTAAAGATTGTCGGCTGTGGTTTTTTAACTAAATCAACCTCCACCAACTTTTGAGGCCTAAAGCCAGGCATAGGCAAACTCAGCCCTCCAGATGTTTTGGGACTACAACTCCCATCATCCCAGTGGTCAGGGATGATGGGAGTAATAGTCTCAAAACATCTGGAGGGCTGAGTTTGCCTATGCCTGGCTAAAGCTTTATTGTAAACAACATGGTTGATCTTGTGATCTTATGGGGCACTTGATCTGAGAGGTGACCTGGATCCTCATCTCCCAAATCCCCTGTGGGCCATAGGTGACCTGGGGGTGGGGCAGCATACCTCTCCATCATCCGAGATCACAGAGACATCAGAGAACCCATTTTCCCCACATGAATGATCAGATAGCTTCATGAACACAGCTTTGCAAGCCTGAACTATCAGAACATCATCAGCACTTGTAAAGCACTTTGCTTTGTAGGTTCTCCTGACAGCTGTTCTTCAGGCCAGCCACTCTGATAAACTCAGAGAATCTGGGTCTCATTTGTAGGCAGATGAGGACCAGCGGGTAACAAATGTCATTCAATTGTTTTGAAGCCCCACTTGGAAATGTGACAACTTCACATTGTGAAGCCAGATAGATGTGTACATACATGTGTATCCACAGGTGGATGATGATGGAAAGGATTAAAAATGCAACCTCTTAATTGTCCATAATGTTCTCCCATGTTATACAGGATTCTGCAGCTACATTCTGAGATAAGCAGCTATTCTTGATTACATATAAATAAATTCAATACAGCTTTTACCTAAATATATAAAGAATAGCCTTGGCAGAAGTTACGTGTTTCACGCTGATGATGTCTCCCCATGAAGGGATATACCTTTAGCACCCTATGAATGGAA